CTCAGCTTTCTGCGCATGTTTGAACAGTACCACGAGAAATGCAACGGCTTCGCCACTCAGAATGCGCGCCTTCAAACGGAACTGGACAAATCTCTGGCCAAAATGGGTGACCTGGAGGGCAAACTGTATCACGCGCGYCGYATTATTGACACGGAGATCAAAGCGCGCCGACAGGCGGAGCATGAACGCGATGCCATGGAAAGTAAGATAATGGCCGTAGCCGATTTACTGCGCCACGAACGCAATCTGAACAATGAGACGCGCGATAAGCTGGCGTTCCTAAATACTATGCATCCGGAGTCGACGCGCAAGCGTAAATCCCTGAATACATTGCATGAGGACAAGTCGTATGGCGACATAAATTCCACGGGCTCTTTGCTCTCCGATTTATCTATCACGCATTCCGAGGACGACTTTCTCGATGTGCGTCGCTCCAAGTCATGGCGCGAACACCGTCCATCTTTGCCCAAAAATCCGGTGCCATGTGTGGGCAACAAGCGTTCCCGTCTGAGCACTGGCCACAACAGCAGCAATTTGGGTACACCGACAATTGGCACCGCCACCACGACCACCACCACAACAACGCGTCGCTCGGGACATGTCGATCACCACACACTGGACGTCGGCCAGGGCGCAGAGCGCTTCTGCGCCACCACCAAGGTGACCATACCGCAGGATGGCCAAGGTGTCATACGTGCCGAATCGACCATTGAGTCGCTGCCTGTGATTGTGACTCAGGACCGCAATGCCGATGCTCAGTCAACCTCAACGCCGCGACGTCGTTCGGCCGTCAAGGAGCCCACGGCGCCGCCACTAACGCCGCTCAATGCCATGGCGATGGGGATGTCGCCGGCCCAGCAGAATCGTCTGATGATGCGAAAGCACAGCTTCAGCCAGAAGACGTTCTTGCGCGGCGACAACTGTGTCCAATGCCAGAAGCGGTACAGTTAACCACTCCGATTAAACGAATCTTTAAATAAATTAATATGTATTCATTCATTGTCTTGCAGCATTCGCTTCGGTTCACTTGGATTGCGCTGTCGCGACTGTCCGGTGCGCTGTCACATCGACTGTCGCCATCTGCTCACAGTCAGCTGTGTGCCGCAGTCGAGCACGCCCACCACAAAGACGGAACTGCATTACCTCAGCGACTTTGCGCCAGCGACTCCGCCTATGATACCCGCACTGATCGTGCACTGTGTGAATGAGATTGAGGCGCGTGGACTGGGTGAGGTTGGCCTCTACCGCATGTCGTCCTCGGAGCGCGAATATAAGGCACTGAAGGAGCAGTTCCTGCGCGGCAAGGTTACACCGCATCTGGGCAACACAGACATCTATGTGCTCTGCTGTTGCGTGAAGGACTTCTTGCGCACCTTGCGCGAACCGCTCATACCCACCAGCCAGTGGAAGGACTTTGCCAATGCTGTACAGAATCCAGATAACAAGCTGGCCGAACAGGCGCTCTGTAAGGCGGTGGATCAACTACCTCCCGCAAATCGCGACACTATGGCATTCCTTATGCTCCACTTCCAGCGCATAGCCGAATGTCCGATCGTGATGATGCCCATCGATAATATGTCCAAGATATTCGGGCCCACAATTATGGGCTATTCATCGCCAAATCCAGATCAGCATGCGCTCTACACAGAGGTCTTTACGCAAACCCAAGTAATGAAGGCGCTGTTAGAACTACCCGGCACCTTTTGGCAGCAATATCTTCCTTTGGAGCCGTCGCCAGCAACGGTTCCGCCCAGCAGCGCCGTCAAGCGCGTGCCCAGCAACACCCGAGATCTTTTCTCGCTATATGGTAATGAGACTGAATGGCATTTAAATGTATTAGATCAATATTAATGATATTATCTTCTGGTTTGTCAGCTACCCCACTGAAGGGCACCATGAAGAAGCGAAAATGCAACGCCACGCCCCCTATGTCTGCGCATAAGAAGTAAAAGGACCAGAGCATCCTCCGTCCGTTAGATATTTCATCTGATGCATCGCTGGCGTGTTTACTTAATTCACAAGTATTTCAATTTTTTCCATTTGTTTGCACTAACTAAATAAGTGCGTTTTTTAGTTTAATATTACTGCTCTTTAAAAGTAATTATATTTCCTTGATTAATTATCTAATAATTTGAACTATAAAATCTCTTAACAATATATTGAATATTACATTGTATAATACAAATAAACATTGCA